AAACATACTCTGATACATAAAAAGTGAACGTTTGAAGTAATATAAGTACTAGTACTAGTCCTGGCATAAATTATTATTTTACAATGATATAAATTTGGTTGAAAGAGAAAAACAGAAAACATCTCCCAGCCTTTGAGATTTATAACAAGTACACTGAAGGCCTAAATAAAATCGTAAGGAGTAAAATGTTTTTTTTTTGTCTTAGAAATTGAACTGAGTTACAGTTTCAATAATACTCTAGTAAAATATAAATCTTTCCAAAAAGTACTTCAGTACAGTAACACTACTCAAGTATTTTCCACCCCTGCTGGAAGTTATCAACACAACATTGTCTGAATTTTCAAGTAGCTGCCTTTATAGTGGATGGATTTAAAGTGGATTTTTAAAAATATTTTAATATTAATATATTCTATTACCGTATATTCTATTACCGTATAAAGGAAGCATAATGCTGCCTTTATTGTTGGATGCATTGTGATTGTGTCTAATTGAGCACCCACACATTCAGAACAGAATTTAAATAACCAATGGCTTATTACTGATTTATTTCATCAGAGTAACTACAGGGAGATTCACTCGAAAGAGGTCCCGAATATTCTGTTGTAACTCCCGTTAGGATGAAGCAATCTGAACCAAAAAATCTGCTACATACCTTGACGTATCTGTAATCGATTGCAATACATGCGATGCTGGAAGTGATCTCAGTTTTCTGCCAGACACATGAAGGGGTACGGGGGTATGCACCCGGAAGTTGCAAACGGAGGTTAAAGGTCGCGACTACTGTCCGGCGTCTACCTTATCGCTCTGACGCAGGGGCATCCCAGCTTGTTTGAAGCTCCATATACTGAGGAGCTCATTGCACGCTGTTTAGTTTAGATTGCTTTGTCCTAGCGAGAGTTATTACAGAATATTTCGGGCCTCTTTCGAGTGAATCTCCCTGTATAAAAGGTGACTGAAGTGTGATGTATATCTTAGGTTTGCTCAGGTGACGTTAACAAAAAACATCTACAAAATTTCATTTTTTAAGATCATTTCTTTTACAAATCAAACAAGACAACAGTGTTGAGAAATCATGTTAATGAAGGAGAAGAGTAGATTAGAATGCAGACATAACTGCCTCCTTGGCTTAGAATTAAAGGGTAAATTATGGACCTTAAAAAATGTGTGATGCAGAACAGCATTAATCTTTCTTGGAACTGCTCTACATTTCAAGCAATTTTCCTCATGAAATTGGACGAGTCTTCCACAAACTCATCACAGCTGACAGTTGGGAACCAGTGGGTGGAACAGAGTTGAAAGCTTCTTTTGGCTTTCTCCAAACACAGAACATTCATTTCATCTTGTCTTCCAGATTTTGAGCTTATTATACCAAATTTTTCTTGACTAGTTATAGACATGAGCCATATGCAGATGGAATCACTATCATACATATCAGCTCTTTGAAGCCAATAGTGTGATTTTTGCTTAAAGATATTTTAACTATTTTCCTAACCATCATTGGTATCACTGAATAAATAATGAATAAAATGTTTCACAGTGGTATGAAATCAGCAGTGATATCAAATCCCTCAGATGTCAAATCACTAGATCAGAACACGATCCAGCATCATGAGTATGCACAGCCACACTTTCAATGAGCATATCGGCACGTTAGTAAGTGTTAAGGACCCACAGTATATGAGTTAATTTGAGTCTAGTCATGAGTTATATTAATACGCTATCTTAACACTTAGGATGCTGCCTAAAGTGACATGACTAGTACATAATGTTCACGAGATTTCCTGTGTTTTGCTGTGCAAAAGGCAGAGACCACCGTTTACTTTTTGAATTTCCAGTCAAAATGTAATTTCCCCTCACATTCAAAAGGGATGTTACTGTTTTCTTTGTCCGTTCTTTGCCTTTATATACTTTCAATTCTTTTTAGGAGATTTGTTTTCAGTTTTTCAAAGAAATGTGCAGGGACACAACTAAACTGCATTCTGTGCTTCTCATGATTACAAACACAAACAGCTTCTTGGTTTGATTTGCAAATTTTGTTCTTTTTTGTCTATTTCCTTTTCTTCAGTAACAACTTTTTGACAGACACACATACTTTCAGACTCCTAGTGTTGAGTTGTCTTCTCACAGTGAAAAAATGGAAAGAAACACTTGTGGATTTTTTCAGATCTGAAGCAAGAGTGGAGCTTGATTTTCTCCTTGCCTCTCTCTCAAAGATGAAAGCTTTAAGTACTGTTTGTCTGGTTTTGTACTAGTTTTAGTGGTCTACCAGGTCTCACACGTTTGTTAACAGGCCCTTTTTTCTATAGTGTTCAATAATTTTTTGCGCTCTTCTTCTTCCTTATGTATGTAGATTATATCTAAACTCCATATAAATATCTCCTGAAACATGAACAGCTTGTACTTAATAGCAGTGTTACCTGGAAATTAAATAAATGAAGGGTCGTCTCTGCCTTTTACACAGTACTGTGCTTAAAATCTTATACTACACTCAGGATATCACATGCTCTAATGTAATACAAACTGCAGAATAATTGCAGTCCATCTCCTCAAGTTGTTTTTTAAACAATGCTTTTGACGATAATCTGTTCTCTTGTTTTAGATAAAGCTGTTCAAGTGGGCAAAGTTTATGGACCAGTCTGTTATATCAGAGAACACTGTATGCTGGCTTAACTTAATTGCAGCACACAGACTAATAGACACTATATGTCCATGTGCACAGAAAAGAGTGTTCATAACTGTCAACAAGCAACCCAGAAGGTGAGACTCTCCAAGTTCTTGACTAGCAAAGTGATTCAGGTCCACTCCTACACAGGTTTTATCTTGTCACTTTTTGAAAACAATCATTATTCATGCAGCAACAAATGACACCCAGAGGTGTAATCTGGACCACAAGCATGCAAAATCACAGCAAAAACTAAAGTACTGTGGGCATCTCATTGAACCCACTCACTGTGAGTTTTGAGAATATTTAAATTGAATGTAACGATGACATGGAAGAACATCTTAAATAAGCAAGTGCCGGTCTCTATCTATTTGCAATTAATCAGGACTGGTTAATAGGACACACTGGCCTGGGAAAAATGGACTGAGTAATTGGAACACACTGTGGTTACTGTCCTACTCAAACGAACAGACATGTTCTGGCATGAGGACGTTCAAGGAATGTAGGACATCAGCAGTTTCAATAGGAGTCAAAAGCTATTCCAGAAATGGAACGTGTTTTTACTGGGAGTCGGCCTCATCCCCATCTTATCACCCGCAGAATCGTCACCATGCCCCAACACAAAAAAAGCATAGCAAAGCACTTAATATCTAGTACTTTCACAGACAATACACACAAGAAGAAAATCACTGCTATCTAGGTGCACAAATACTTCAACATGGGCACAGATGCATTTATGGGGATACGGCAAAGCACATCTACCCAAGATCCTACAGCCAATAGGTTATATATACTCATGTGGAAACCGTCTGCTTGTCAAGCTCCTTCAAGGTCTCTTGTTATTCCTTATTATGCTCGAGGTGAATCTTTCAGCCCACTGGGGTCATTGCCTTATTACAGAAAATACTGAGGGCAAAACTGTCAGTCAAAGGTTAAGCTAAAGTGTGTTGCAGCATCTTGTGTTTAGTGTGCAAGCCTTCTGAGAGCTTGTTTCTTTGCAAATTACAGCCTGCTATTAAGTACAACACTGCTTAACCAATTCAACTGCAGGCTTATTTTTCTGTTATTAAACTTCATACTTATAATTCAGAAACTACTATGAAACTAATAAGGTCTCAAAATACATACTGATATTGCAGTAGTCTGCAATATGAAATTCATGAGCCTCAAACCAATCTCTAAATGTTTAATTTTGCTCTGTGAGCTTCCTGACATATCTGAGATGATCCAGGTACGTTTCTGTGGGTGTTTCAGTGAATTGAGGCATTCACCTGACAACAACCATAAATGATTTTGGCCAAAAATAAAGCAGTCCATCCTTCAAACGTCAGATTAAGAACTCAAAGGTGTGTTGGTAATGTATTTCAAACTACAGTTACATGCAAAAGTTTGAAAACCCTCATATGATGTTTTATTGGTTTTCTAAGTTGAAAAACCTAAAATATGGCATTTAAATAAAACTTAAATATGGCATTTGTCTACAAAGTTTAGTGCACAATTTCTATTTATTCAATATATTGGAAAAAAAACAAAATTTAACATGTGCCATAATGTTTGCACAGGCCACATTTTATGTTTTATTTTCACCCCCAATATGTTACATTTAACAAATAAACAGCAAATTGTTAATTAATGTGCAAAGGTGTGTTCCCTGTGGAGGATGCATACTTACTTTCACTTAGAAAATCAACGAAACGTAATTTAACCAAGGGCGCCCAAACTTTTTCATGTGACTGTATATGGTAATCGTAATATGTGGCAACATATTTGCAATATGGAATTCTGCCAATACAATACGAGCAGCCCTAGAAGCTAATCCAGCTATCCAGTTAGGATAGTTGGGAACTGAAGTAACCACACGAAGCTCAGGGAGAGTTTAAACCCTATGGAACACAGCGTCTCGCCAGCAATCCATTCTGAGAATCTGGCGATGACCCTTTAACTCGTTTAATTCTGCTGTCAGAGGAGTTATGGCATGTGCATGTCCATGTTGCACACAGTGAAACAGACAGGGATGTAGGGATTTTCTGTGTTCTACCATTTTTGTATCACTTTGTAAAATATGCCTGAGGCTTCCTTTGTGCTGTGATTCCTTCCTAGCAAAGGCGTGAGCTCATTTAGAGTGCAATTCAGATCGTTAAGCACTTATTATTGAATTGTGTAATGACAATTCAACGTGTAATGAGTAACGACAAAATACGTCAGATATGTGGCATTTATTCTCATTCAAGTGTTTTCTTGTTCAGATTTTTGTGTCAGCCTTAAAGGGTTAATAAGCAAACAACTGATTGAAATTTTAGCCAAGACACAACGAATGCTGCACATGCTTATCGCTTACCTTCTTGTCCTTAGTGACGTCATCATCTTTTTTAGCAGCGTCCAGGTCAGTCACCCCACGGCTGAATTCATCAACTGTGCTGTCAGGCAGAGGCAGCTCTTCTGCATCAATGTCCGTCTCCTCTGCGACCGCCTTTTCAGCTCCAGTCAGCTCACGATCTGCAGACAGAAACAATTTGCATTCATTCCCAATGTGAATTAATTATTTTCTGTTTAACCAATTAAATCTGCATGTGCGGTGATGCTGGAACGATGTTCAAGGAGGTACATGATGAAAAATGAAGCTTCTTCAAGCCCACTAACATAAGGCCTGAGGCAACAGCCAGAGGGAGTACTAAGGCCCAGTGAGATGATTTGGGCACTTTTAACTAGTAGTTCACTGTTATTGTCAAAGAGGGTTCTGACAATTAGTCCCTGAAGTGGTTTGGCTGACATTGTGCCAGAGCTGGTGCTAACGGGAGTGAGTCACATCCATTTGAGTGTGGTTGGAGCACTGGTTTCGGGGCTAGGGGACCCTCATGTGGCTGAGCGTTGGCGCGTGGGTGAGATGGCGCTCATCTGCATTTCAAAAGGAAGAATCTCCAGAGGCAGCTAGGAGCACGGAGGAGGATAATCAGCCTGAACTCACGGCTCGGGGAGCAGGAAAAAAGAGACGCCCCTCAGCCACTGATCGTCACATGTTGTACAATGGCCTCTATCAAAGGCCCGATGCACGTAGGCAGATTCTAAGTGCACCAAAATATGTGGAGTACCACGTATTTTGTTAAATCTAAGTGTGCAGGGAGTGTGAGCAAAATCGGACTCATTTTGAATCTCATGGTATTACTTTAAAGAGCATATGTAGATATTTTTATTTTGGTGGAGCAGAATCAGTTTCACGATTAGTCTTTTTATTTACTATGCATGTGTTTCAGTGTCACATCGATATAAAGGTTCGACACTGATCGACATTGAAGTCCCGCAGATTTATTGGCCGCCACAAACTCTGGCTGAGAAAGCACCAATATTTAACAGCTTGGTATGTATTGTAACAGACATCTGTGATTTGAGGAAAACATTACAGTAGTGTGGGGGTACAGGAGTCTTTTTAAGATGAGTTCTGTCATTATCATTATACCAGTATGCGACAAACAAACACAGATCATGCAATGTACATACAGTCCATCACCTTCCATGTAGTGACTTGCAGTTTGAGGTAAGTTAATCCAGTTTGTTGATGCAGGAGCAGACATTACAATGTAATGAGTTAATGGGTTAAAAGGAAGAAAGGAGAGTGGAAATAAAAGCTGGTGTCCTGGGGTTGGCCATAAGCCATTAGGCTTGCATGATGGCTAGCCGGCTTTCGTGTGCACCACTTAGTGTGCCCCTGACTTGACCAGCTGTAGACTGTACTGCAGTCTCGGGCTTTGTCCTTGCTACAAGCCGAGAAGCTCTGCAGCTTCTCAGTTAATACCGATAGCTTGAATCGCTCATAATAGTTATTAAATTCCAGCAGAGTCTCTCTGAAAGCTTGAGCGCAAGAGACGCAAATATGACACAAATGACATGAGAATTTCAGATGTAAAACAAAATGTAGCACTGTTTTTTTCTGAGCTCAGAGAAGCTGTTATGTGCTTACATGCACTCACCTTTATCTCGTTAAGGTTAGAAAGTGACACTGACATCTGTCTACATATTGTTCTTATCTGTTTTTACTATTTCACCCAGTAATATACATGTTTTTTCCCCAGAATCCTGGAATAATATGACATTGTTAATTTACAAAAACAGATTACCTTAAACATCCAAAATGGTTTTATTTGATAAAAATCATCACAAATACACTATACCGTGATATACACTGAACTATAAGAATGTTAATTATACAAATATATATTATATTATTTAAGTTTTAGGCTATACCGCCCACTATTAGAGAAACCTTTTACTTAATAAAGACTTCTATTACATCTTCACAGGTAAATTAGATGGTAATTTGAACACAAAACATGAAAAATGAATCCAAAACTAACATTTAGCACGATGACAACCCAATAAAACTTTTCTATGAAGAGAATTGATAAAAACCAACAAAACCAATAAGAATTCAGGGAAGACTGTGAGTTTCTGCTGTTTACCTGAGTTTAAGCAGTGTGTCGATTGTGCACTGGCAATCACATTTGATACTCAAGAGTTGACAAACAACAATCATATCAGCATGTGCGGCACCAGGGGTGGGCTTATAGGTCTTAAGCCCTGAATGCAAGCAAAGCCCTGAATCTTTTTTTACCTTCGGTTCATCAGCATGTTTTAATGCATGTCCTTTTTTACTCAATAAAATCCTTTAGAGCTCCTTCTCACTCACTGCCCTTCCCCACGTCTCTGCCCCCAGCCCCCAGAGCGTGCACGTTCGTAGTTGTACTAATGTGCACTGACATCAAGGACATAACAAGGCATTTGAAAAAGCAAGATCTCCAGAGTCAGCCACGGAGCAAAATACTGTTTCAGGTATGCGCAGTTCTAGAATGAAAGCTGCTCTTGTAGTATTTGTGGAGCTATACCTGCGTAATGTTAATTACTTAATGTTTGCCCAGTATCAGCTTGTTAGCCAATCAGCAGGCTAACAGCACTGACAAAAGATCATACAGCCACCCGCTGTTTGCTAGCTAAAGTATAAATCAGTCTGACCTATCATCTACATCTGTTTGAAGTTCAGGGTCTGTTGTCCAAGGCAAAGACTAACTGAATCATTTTGCTGAATTATGAATTGTAGTACAGGAATATTTTATGGAGGTGAAAGTATTAATGATTATCACAGAAGAATTACACAGCACATCACTACAGACACAATACAGTTACAAAAAAAAGCACATACAAAAAAGAACTATAGTAAAATAACAAGAATCTGCAAGATTTATGTTCATGTCCATGCAACATATTAAGGAAGCCAAGAGGAAGGGTGAGTTCTGTGAACATGCAAAACTACATCTTTTACAACTTTTTTTTTTTTTTAGAATTAGGGATAACTGGTTTGGCAAGGGGCACCAGGGGTGGGCTAACGAGGCTAACTAGAACTGAGTCTGAAACGAGTCTGATGATTTTTTGACCATATTAAATTATACTGGCTGATACTATTAGTTATCTGATTTGTTAATCTCTGTAAAATCAATATCAGTCATGATTTTAATACTGCATCCTAATGTGTAGAGGCTACCTTGCACTCCTGAGTCTGTGCAGGTCTTCTGGCTGTCTCCATCTTCCTGGCCATCTGCATTCTGCTGGGCGTGCTGCAGACTGAGCTTGTGGCAAACCTCGAAGGCCTGACCCACGGTCCGCACAATCCGCATGGCCTGGCTCTGCACACAGGAACAAGACAGGTCTGCATTTATCTAGTCTAGCACACTAATGATGAAAATTTTAAATGAACAGGTAGCTTAAATGTTAAAATACCGCAAAAATCTATAAGAACAGTGAGAAAAGTGAGCGCTGGACAAACTAGGTTGGTTCATTAACCTATGCTGCCAGTGGAAAAGACAGAGAGCACTGATGCCAGTGCTATCAAATTGAGAGATTCATTTTAGATGGCAGATGGTAGTAGATATTTGGGCCTAAGTTGTAGATGACATCTATGAGGAACAATATGCCTGGGCAAATGCAGAATGGCTGTGCCAGTGTGTCCCCGCTTCAAATACTTTTGAAGTGGGTTAGTCTTGCAGGGCCAGATGTGGTCTTGTAGTAAGAATGTATGGGAACAACCATTAGAAATTATGGGCTAAATTTGGGTGGATATGTAGTGAAATTTTGAAACTGATCCGACACTTTGTGAAGATGAAGCATGTGTGAAGATGACAGACAATAAGTCCATGGATGGAGGCAAATCAGCAGAAAACATATTACACGAGGTAAAAATAACCATTACCTCTTGCAAGTAGGGCTGAAACAACTAATTGTTTTTATGCTGGAACTTTCGATGTGCAGGTTGTGCTATTATTAGGGAATTGCTCCCATTCCATTTATAAGTGGCAAATGATCCAGCATATGCTGCTTTTGCTGCACAAATGCTCCAGCTTTGGACACACAGCAACAACATGCACACAGCAACAATTTAACAGTTTGTCCCCAGATATGTATTCTCTGTATGAGTTCACGTCTGCCCTCCAAGATTAAGACTGGGTTTACTGCTTTAATCTTGGCTCCTTCACTGATAAATTTCACTCTGTCACTCAACTCATATCCATCAGTGAAAGACTCGAAGCAGTTAGCACACGATCAATGGTTTTATGAACAGCGGATGACTAAGAGAACATGCAGCCCCCTGATAACTATAAAGAAGAAAATTAGTTACACACAGAACGAGACGATTAATATTCAAGGGCAGATTCTGTGTGTGGGAGAAAATCAGTATATGGTTCATGGTGTTTCTCCCTTCGTGGCAAAACGCCTATCGCGGCTTAGTATTGTAGATCAGAGCGCAGCTGCATCTCTGCAGCTTACTGATAATATTCAGTCCTTTACCATTCAGGTCACTACATCAGGTGTGTGAGGCAGGGAAGATCTGAAGGTACAATGGAAGCGTTGTGATTGCTCAAGCACTATAGCACAAAGTGTCAGGAAGAATTCTGTCTGCTACTCATCATCAAGCTATCGTACTCAGGGAGGTATGATTTCCCTGCCTTTTCTTTGTTAAGAAGAAATGACTGAGCACAAGTTGCATAAAACATTCATTATAATTTCCTGCTGCTCTTTGTTTAAAATAGGCCTAGTGACAATAGACAGACACACACATATAGAGCTTAATAAATACATAGCCATACAGATTAAACAAACAAATCAAATATCTGCAGGAGGCCCCAAAGCTAATTTTATGACATGAATCAAAACAGAGAATCTTGGCACAATGGAACCAATGCAATCAACAATGTCATCAGAGCAGTGTGAATGGTTCTGCGCCTGCAGGCCAGGGACACAAAAGTTATCATCACAGAGCCATAGGCAGCTTATTGGAGGCAAATTTGAGCAGGTGATATGCAATTTCTCTGAACAGCACAAAGGGTGCTTCCCTGTTATGAACAGCGATGCTGGAGAAAGAAACGAGCTAAGTGCTGCTTCTGGCTCTGCAGAGCAATTACATTCCAGGGAGCCCTGCTTAAAATAATGGGACACTTCTCTCTAAGCTGTTTTCGCAAACGATAAAAGTTTCTGCCTTAACAATCAATAGCTGCTGAAATCACTTGCTTGTCTGAATGAGAACATGAGTAGAGCTGTGTGTGTTGGGCTTTCATAATGACTTTCCCCTCACTTTTATCCTTCTTTGCTTTGTGTTTAGCACTGAGACGCTGCAGGAACAGTGTGTCCATTCTCTCTACAAATTACCACTTATAAAAACCTCATTGTCCTTAATAAGTGCAAATATACAGTACTGTGCACAAATTAGAGACCATCCTTCATTATTATAATTTCAAGTCAAAACAGCCAAGAAGTATAAGTTGTTCATTTTTCAGTGTCAGAAAAAAGCAGAACACATTTAACAGAAAATTACACAGAAACATCGACAACATATAATTTTTATCAGTATTTAGTTTGCCCAGTTCTTGCCTTCATTACTTTCTCCTGTTTATTCCATTTTTTTTTACTTTCCCTTCCTTAGGCAAGCATCTCCACACAAAATATCTCCTTGTACTTAATCCGATTTTGACTGGAAATTAAATAAATGAAAGTTGGTCTATGACTTTTGCACAGTCCTGTACTTAAAGTGTATTGTGCAGTCAAAAAAGTGGAGGAGTAAAGTCTTTAAGAAAGCAGCAGACGAAGCTTAAAAGACAGCTTTCTTTTCTATCTTCCTGTCTCCAGTTATTCTGGTTCCACATGATGAAAGTGAGCTCTGGCTCCGAGCGCTCCTGAACAATTTTCTGCGTCTGAGCCGAGTACGCGCACTGCTGAGCCGAAACTGACTTTCAATTAAAACACCTGTCCTCCAGACACGTTTGTTTGAGGTCTCATCATAAGACAATTATAATAGACCACCATGAAAAATCTTCGATGTTCTTTGTGCTCTCTGCCATGTTCAGAAATATTAACCTTCTATTTAATCAGGATATAATGGAGGGGGAAAAGATGGAAAGCTGACAAGCTCAAAAGGTTCTGAGTTAAATTGAGGTAAAATGTTTTCTCCTGCCGGGGGTGAATCGCTGACACCACTGTAATACAAACACGTGATTCAAATCGGAGTATGACAGTGAAGATTAATTACCAATAAACAAAACGAACCAGTCGAGTAGAAAAAAATTGGATACTGAAAAAAAAGCCATAAATCTTCCACGCCTCTGATCCCAATCTTTAACAAGCAATTTAGCAACTGAGAGTCAAATTAGGGGGTTTTAAATAAGGTTGTGATCCTAATCTACATCTTTCTAACTCAGTTTAGTGACGATTCGAAATCAACAGATGTTGGGGGATCGAAAATAACAGTGGCTGTTCATGCACACACTGAATGAAAGGAGACGGCCCACTGGCCAATAACAGCAAACCCGGCTTGGCAGAGATGATCCTGGGCAGAGAATGTGAAGTTTTTGGCAGCTTCCTCATCATCTCTTCCCTCTCTCACCTCTCGCCTGTCTGTATCCATCAGATGCTATTAAAATGCACAGGCCTGCTTCCTGCTCTTTGGCTCGAGCTCTTTAATTGATTCCCCAGGGTGCCACCTGCATTTAACAGCTTGTGATAATGAAAGGGCAATTAATTGTTCCATAAACCGGTGTCTTCCTAGAGCACAGGCTCCAAGAGCCTCCCAATTGGTTTCAAAGTCATCTTGAATCTGATTCTACACCAGGGGTTCCCAAAGCAGGTTGTGTAGATCCACTGCCCTGGAGAGTTATTTGCAGTACCTGGCTCTCATGTTTAGATGCTCTTCAAGGCCTTGATTAGCTGGATCAGGTGTTGCAAGATTAGGGTTGGAACTGAACTCTGGAGGATGGCAGATTTGGTAAAATGTAAACTTGGTCTATACTAATGTCTAGATTAGTGCACAACAGGCGCAATCTCGTCCTCGTCTGGCGAGAACAGGTTTTAATAGCCTATCTATTCTTTTTTTTCTAACAAGACAATTTACAATTCAGGAGCTGGACCTCAATGAGAGCTTTCATATACAACTCAGATGTGTGTAACTCAGTTTAAGCTCTGTTTCAGCAGATTCTGGTTTACGTGTTGAACATACTGGGCCCGATACACTAAACATTTTGCAACCGTTTCAGGTGCAAATGACACGCATCGTGCCTGCATGTTATGTAAAAATTAAATGTCATTTTTCCATCTAGGCATAAATTTGCTATAATGTCTCAAATGTCTCCCATACATGTCGGGTGGCCTTCTTTAACAATGGAAGAAGACACAGAGCCTAGACCGAGCCATCAGCCTCGAACATGTGCTGAAAAAATCACAAGGTAAATTCAGGCACATTATGATTTAATATTGTGGTTGCATTAATGTATATTTTGTGCTGTGCCTGCGCTCGTATGCACACTGGCCCTCAAGCTTACATTGTTATCATTTTGATCTAATACTGAGGACAAATTCTCGCAAAATAAAACTTCTTCATGGTTGCTGGACAAATGTCATGATGCTTTTCTACAGCATTCTCAACTACTGGTTAAAGCTACTGTAGCTACTCAGACCAGCAGCTCCCAAACTTTTCTAATCCATGGCCCACTCAACTGACCACAAAAGCTTCCATGGCCCACAAGATTTTACCAACCAGATCATTTAAAGTGCAAACAAATCGAATACAATAATCAATGTAGCCTGGTGCTTGACTTTCTAATATTACACAACACAATAAACACTAAAAGAATAACCAAACATTTTCTGATTCATCTAATGCGTAATCTAATGTTGTGCTTGATGACAAGCTGAAAAAAAAATAAAGTTGTGAAAGGAGGTTCAGTCCAACAGGATTAGATACATATGTGAAATTTTTATCCTCCCAGCTGATGCCGTTATTTGTTATGCTTTAAAGGTTTATTTTAAAAAAAGCGATTTATTCATGCAGGATTTTCCAACAACAGTAAACTAATTCTGTCCTGTGTATAACTGATAATATCCCGCACATCAAATGTGATTTTTCAAGTGGCGTAAATGTGATATGATTTTATTCGTGTCAGCTTGAGGGGGCTCAAACTGAGATGCCCATCCGAGTCGTATGTGAAAGCTCTCATTAAGTTCCAGCTCCTGAATGAGGTGGTGAAACTCTTTGTGCTCCTTTTCCAGCATGAAAAGAACCATACTCAGTTTCATCATTTGCTGGTTTTGTGAGGAGCAAAGATATCCTTGTCACTTAAAGACTTTCTGCCTGTTTGTTTGTTGTTACTGCAGTGTGATTACTTTTACTTTAAAAACAATGAGTTTTTTTATGGGGGCTTTAAAAGCCATTAGGTTACAGAAGTGTGATGTACTGTCTGAGTAAAATTTGCAATATTTACTGTACAGCTTTAGTGCTAAGTAAAACTGCAAAATTGTAAAAATATATTTCTATTGATCTGTAGAACGACTTTAATACAATGACAGAAAACACCTTATATCTATCTATCTATCTATGTATAGATACCTTATATATATCTATCTATCTATCTATCTATCTATCTATATATATATATATATATATTTTCAGAAGCAGGGGGGCATGGCTTTGGACATCACTTGCAGTCTGAAGTGTCTCCTGCAGCAAGTGCTATTAGCACGCAAGCCACCATTAATCTACACCAGAAGGAACTCATGAACGCATGTTTTGGCAGTAACATCTTTTATAACAACGGGTGAAGTATGGTGAAGTGTGGTTTTTAATAGAGATTTTCATTAAGACAGTTAAGCTCTTGCAAAGAAAAACAGTATATGTGACATATATGTGACATTTTTTATATGAATCATATACGCATAATATGGCATTGTTTGGTGCCTTGTATTTAAAATAAGAGGTCAATAAAATGTAAATAAAGCATAGTTTGGCTTTTCGATGAAAAGGGCTGTACAAAATAAGAGAGAAAACAAAATAACTGATAATCCCAAAAAGTTTGGAATGGTTAATATGTGTTTTGGTTATGTTGGAGGGGCTCAATTAAATGTTCAAAAAATCCTGTAAACAAAAATAGAACTGAAAAGTAGATCAAAGCTGTAGCGGACTGTGTGTATTGGTTGGGGAGGGTATTTTTAAAATATTGCGTTAATTATTTTTAGATATCTTCAAGGCCTACAGGGAAGCAAACATAGTGATTGTATGTGCGAGCTGAAGCTTACTTTTTGTCAAATAAAAGAACATAATGACAACACAGTTCAATGAAAGCTGTGGTTGCAGTGTATTGCCATCACCAATTTGGCCACAAAACTGTAATTAATCTAGTAAGGAAGATTACTACTGCGAATGTGACACACTACTGTCCAAAGATGAGGTGTCTGAAGCCGCTCAGCTGACAGAGTCTTTCCTGAGATTGAGATTTTTGTCTGATGTCTGAAACCTGACAGTGTGGTCTTAGGTTGTCCTAACGTACACAATAGCATAGGTGGCCTTCTGGACAGGCCTGGACACAGTGCACCACTTCCACTGTCACTGGGAGCTGTTACTGTGGCACGTGGCACTGTGGTACTCAGTCGCGGTTGGGACTCAAGGCTTAGTCCCAACATTTATGATCATGAATGTGGAACAAGCGGTTCTGCTTTTCTGCATGGGAAGTGGCTCTGGTAACAGGATCACAATCTACTTCTTTTTCCCATCAGTGCTGTTATAGTTACAAATAACAGCCCTGAGCAGAACTTCATTCGCGTACTTGCTCGCAGGAACTGTGTTTCTCTGCATGCTAGAGTGACTGGGGAGAATGATACAGCAGCTTTGGAAAGTGAGTCTCAGCTACATGTCCTGAGGTCCACTGCACCCCCACTGTGTTTGGCTTTTTAGATCTTTGCCCAAAGGACAGAGTGAGATGGAGAGGATGTGTACCAGTATGTTTAAGAGGATATGTTCCAGAGAGGGAGAGAGTGCAAGAAATAAGAAAGAAGGAGCAGTGCATTGTGTATAACAACACACCTAGAGTACTGCGCACAGTCAGAGACCACCCTTCTTTTATTTCATTTCCAGTCAAAATGGTCACTAAGCACAAATCATCAATTTTTCAGAAGAAGAGAAGACTGGATAGAAGATAATCTACTTGCACAAGAAAGAGAAAATTCAAAGGAAAAAAACAAAGACAAAAACAGAAGTTCCCAAAACTGGAGTTAAAAAAATAAAAAGATAGAAAATGGGACTACTACCAGGGTGTGAAATGTAGGTAAGTAAGCTTTTATCTTTGAACAAAAGGAGAAAAATCAAGCTCCACCTTCAGGTCTCAGACCTGAAAAAATCCATAGATGCTTCTGTCCATCCTTTCACTGTGACAGCTCGATGCTATGGGTCTGAAAGGATGTGTAGCTGACAAGAAGCTGTTACTGAGAAAAGGAAATAGACCAAACTAAAAAAAAAAATCAAATGAAACAAAAAAGTGACTGGTGTTCTCAGCACAATGGGCTGATTATCCTTAGACATCACTGAATGTGTTTGGGATTACTTCGATCATGAGAAGCAGAAAATGTAACCAACTTCTAAGACTGAAGTTTGGAGGTAAAAAATATCCCTGTAGATTTCTTTGAAAAAATGAAAGCAAGTCTTTCAAACAGAATGGAAGCTGTAATACAGACAAAAACTGAACACACTAAATGCTAAAAAAATTGTATTTGTTTGTTAAGGCTTCTGTGTCATTTTCTGTTAAATATGTTTTCTTCTTTTTCGTTCAAACTTGTAGGCCTACGTGTGACTGTAAATGAAGTAAATGAAGGTGGTCTCTGACTTTTGCACAGTACTGTAAATAGTGTATTCTCAGGGCACATAAGTATATGCATATCTGTTGTTGAATGCATGTTCAGGGGAATAAAAGAGTGCCTCAAGAAAGAGAGAAAGAAAGAGAGAAAGAGATGAAAGTGGCTGCATACAGAGGCATTCCATTTCCTCAGTCACCTTCATTCACTGCCAAATGGAGTTTCAATGACAGGTTTCTGTCATCCTTGGAAATTTTCAAGCATTCAACACATAATCTGACAAAAGCACTCAGGGCTGACTTACCTTCTTCTTGGATTTGAAGACACTGCATCTGAACACATTGCTCTGCCCATCTCTGGCTATGTAACTGAAGATTTTCAAATCTTGGGAATCATGTGATACATAGAATATCCTGTGAAAGACAAGAAATTCATCCAGGATGTTATTCGTGCTGCTAAATCAATACATGAGAAAAAAAAATTCTTAAAAAAATAATCAATTAATATTCCAGTCTCCAAGCCTAAAATCAATAAGGTCTAAAGAGCATAAAACACTGCATCTATGTGCATGAGGGTAATTAAGGTTAAAGCAAAACTTTTTAACTGCACCAGAAATTTTGTTTGGAAGAGCAGATATTAATTATATGTAATTGTGGCTGCTGGTTTTACCGTATTATTAAGTGACCCATTGGTGTGTGTGCATATGTGCAATAAATCAAGAGGTTGTGGAGAGCAGGGTTCAACCTCGCACAGGGCAAAATGTAAGATAGATTTTTAAGATACATAACATAACATCCTTCTGGTTATATTCGTGTCATTCCCATAAAAACATCATCTGTGAATTTTCACAGCAATTGGACAGATATTTCTAGATTCACTATGAGATTTATCATTTTTTTTCCATGCTTTTGTACCCTGAAAGTAAATTTCATTTTATTGTGTTAATCACTGATTTGGGTGTAAGTCTCAGAATTCACAGTCTTACTGCTAAGCCTCCCAAAGTAAATAATGTGACAAGTTCACATCTTCCTCAAAAAAATTCAGAAGTCATTATTATAAACGTATCATATAGATTATTTAAAAAATATATTTACATTTTATCAGGATGATATTTCCTCTTTCTAGTTCGTGGTCAAAAATAAATCTGTCAATGTTTTTATAATCTAAGTTTTCTACGTTTTTCATAATTTAAAAAGGTTAAGGTTGGAATGATTGTCTGGTTCAAAGACCATAAAATTATTTTGAATTAACTGTTTGTATTATTTTATTAGACTTTTCTAGCACAAGCTCCTCCACCTGTTACAATTAGGGGTGGGTGATATAGAAAAAAGTTGCATAGCACGATGCTTAAGACAATTTCATGATACATATCATTGCTGAACAGAAGGCAACTTTACAGGAGAAGGTCAAATTTTTAACAGAAGTTAATAGACAAATATTTTTTTTCAAAATAATTCTGGACTGTTTCTGTTGGTCCGTTCATCATGAAATTTTGACACAAATGGTAACTGCCTTTTCCAAGTTATGTCAAAAAATGAAAAATGACAAAAAATGGAGATACAAGTGACAAAATACATTACTAGTAAACTGTAATCAGAAACTGTCAATATAATGATCATTATTCAACATTTCACATACCATACAGCACTAAATCCATTTAAACAGGACTGATTATGCTTTATAATTTTGTTAATATGTTAAATGAAGGATCAAAAAGATAAGCAATAAAAATAATATAAAAATAAGCAAAAAAATCATCTTGTAAAAACATTGTGTCAGGCATGCTAATATTTGCGGAGGGTACCATATATAATCATTTGCACATTTTCAGTGGCTTTTCACTCATCACTAAGGGCAGGTGCTTAAAAAGGTTTGTTTACATTCATAGCACAAATGTGTATTGTTTATATAAAAATATTATTTTTTTTCAAATATTTTTACAATTATTTAGCAAAAAACAAAATATGCCGTGCCGCTTCTTTCCCTTCCTTTTCAGGATATCAGCAGTGGGTTGTCCACTTAATCAGTGAAAAATGTTTCATCTGAGATCAGATAAAGGTTTATTTTTCCTCCAATCATGATCACGCTGATTGCGATCAATCACCCACATGGCAATGCACTTCTCCAGCACAGCGGAGAAGAGGGATTTTTATCCAAAGCTGGATCAACTGATAAACAGTGCAGCTGCTCAGAGCTATCAAAGAGTGCGCTGGGATGAAAAATCCCAGGATTTCACTCCAGTGACAACTAAAACAATGAATGTCTACATCAACAACACTCTCCCCTACGCACGACCACTGCTACAAACAAAATCAAATATATCAGGAGCGATTTAAATAAATAAGCGAAGTGCAGTGACTTATCTGGTGGAAACTTTAAAGCCAGGCTGGGTGTAGATGGGCTGGAAAGTGGTTGCTTGTGTGCAGTTTTGTAATTCAGTGAAGCCTGACAGGATAAATTAACAGCTCAGACGATCTCAATAGGCTTTGTGTCAGTGGAAGAGAAATGCTGAGAGAGTGTGTAGAGCGAACAGAAAGAAAAATGCACTGGCCTGGAACAGGCATGCTCTAATAGGCTATGGTGTTTAGAATGTGTTTAGTGTTCAACCACAGATTTCTGTGCTAAATTCATAGCACCCAGACCACTGCACTGACATATGTAAGTAAGATGAATGGGCTGTGAAAGCATTTAATCATTCATACTAATTACTTCATAAAGTAACGTCACTGCTGTTCTCTTTGTGCGTTGATATAACGTCAGTGAGTGAGCGTGTGCGTATGTCCCAATTCACAGAGTAACTCCATCAGCTTCACCTTGCTGAGTCATGCCTCATTATCTCAGGTAACATACCGATACCAAATTCATCCCATCACAGCAGAGCCAGGACTGCTTGACCTTTTCAGTCTAAGCTGTAGCACTCATGAGATTCCTCTCTCAGACATAGTGCTCTTGATTTTTAACACAGAAACTGGTGGCCTGTGGCCCATCAAACTAGTTTATTCTCAGAGAAGATTCACTTATTCCCCCCTGTGTGCACAGATCAGAAATCCCTGCTCAGGTGTGCAGTCAAAAGGGGGAACTGAAGAAAAGCAGAAGAGAAAAACTCATCCTCTATTAATTGTATTCTTCCTTTGGCTGCTTACACCACAGGGTGATGTGTTGCATCAGCAACTTGTGAGTGGAACACATGCTGTATAAGAAGCCTCCCTGCCTCTTTAATTTATCAACATTGGAGCTGCTGAGCTCAACCAATATTCAATTTCTTACAACAGCCAGTAACAGGTGTGGGCAATGACAATATGTTAGTGTTATTGTAAATGTCACGTTACACTTTCCTGAGTACATTATTTCTGTCCTCAATACTTGTAAAACACTGAACAACTGGATGCATCATAAACAAGGACAAACAGTGTCACTCATACAACCTGCTCTTATGACACATAAAAAGCTATGGGTGTTAACGATGCCCTCTAGTGGAGAACTGTCATCCTGCTAAACATGAGCGACTGAGTGAACGAGTGACAAGCCAGGTCCACGAGGTGCTTTCGCATCTAAAAAGGTGGATTTAGACTCCCGGTCAGAATATGTGAGTGGTGCAGAGTGGAAGCAGAGCAGGGAATGGACCGGCATGCTTTTGCCCAGAGCACGGAATGTCTTTTTTAAAAGATGGATCATCACTCCGAAATCACTCCAATACTGCTCCATCCCACCAGTCCTTTCCAGTCAGTCCGTCTTTTCTAAGGCTTGAATGCTCTGGCCTTTCACACATACAGCATTTGCCCTGCTCAGTGGTTATTTTACAAAATAGATAATTCATAAAAGAGCACGGCACATTTGTTTGCCTTTGGCAGCATTCTGACATGGGATTGGGTGACCACACAGCATCAGTGCCACGTTTGGGACATATTGCCACACTGCTCACACAACCTGTGTAATATAAAGAGAAACAGCCATGAACTCCAGCAGGATCTAACAAACCCACATGTTTGCAGTGACATCTTTGAAAATGAACGCTGAAAACTTTATTACCAAAAGATATTGAGTTAGCATTATTTACGTGATTTCATTAAAACATTTCATGACACCAACTAATGCTAAAAAAGCATGCAAGCTAAAGACTGTATAGAACGTAAGTCTAAGCTGTGTCTGTTTCACTGTTTATCTGCTGCTACTCAACTTGTTTGAACATGTCTGATGACCAGAAAAAAACAAGAGGGACAAACAGCATTTTAATCAGCTGTTTTTCTGTTTTAGCCAAAAAATCTAAGTGCCACTTTTTTTAAGCACCAAATCCTTTACTTACAAACCAAAAAATCTTTGTTAAATTTACCTCTGCTGTTTGGCAGATGCATTTCATCTGGTTCAGATTGTTTGCAAACCTCAGAAAAAAAACTAAATATTGTAATATAAAAATGGTTTCAAGTATTATGACGTTACATTATTATTTTACTTATCATATCATCCACACTTAACAAGTAATGAGAGTAACAGTATGTTGCACTGATCGGGTGTCATTGTTTGTCATTGGTTCAGTGCCATTAGATTCTTGAATAAAACTGCTACACATGCTGCAAACGTTATGTTAAGCAGGCAGGAGCAGAAGGGGTAGTATGCCACTGGACATCTGCATTAGGCTTTCAAAGTATTGATCTGGATGAAATGAAAAATCTATAGTGTCTGTATTACGACTACACTGTGAATTTATAAAGACAAGAATTTGTTTAAGGTTTATAGACCCAGTCAATAAATAAGCATCACGATTTAATGTTCACTATATACCATATGGGCAACTGGAGGTTAGGGAACCAGCCTTATGACTGGAAGGTCGCCAGTTCAATTCCCTGAGCCAACAATACGTGACTGAAGTGCCCTTGAGCAAGGCACATAACCCCCAACTGCCCCCCGGCACTGAGGATAGGGCTGCCCACCACTCCGGGCAAGTGTGCTCACTGCCCCTGTGTGTGTGTGTGTGTGTGTTTCACTGCACGTGTGTGTACAGTTGGCCAATATTTTGTCAGAAAGTCATGATTAAATTAACCAACAATGACGTGACAAAATCTAACATTTTACAAATAATTGTAATGGTAATGGAAATGAGAAATGATAATTAAAAACACCATTTGGTTCTTTTACTCTCTTGCACTGGCCAGAGCAGACGTGTTCAACAGTGAAACTGTCGGCTGTGTGGAACTATTTCTTGTTTTCTACGAGGGACATTAGTGATTTATAATCACTGTTCATGCAGTGTATCAAGAGATGGTACAACACCCAATAACTTTTTCACTACAGGTTTAAAGAAAGTACAAGACAGCTTGCTTGGACTATTTTCATTATTTTTCTTCATGTACATCCAGTAAACATTATTTTGATAAACAAATTCTCAAATGGAACATTTTTAAGTACTATGTATCCT